CTGAACTATGATACTTTCTGTTATATCCAAACCATTCCTTTTGGAATTCCAGGGAGAGGGAGGAAAAATTCCCAAACCTCATTTACTTTGCCTCTGACTCAAGTCCTGGCTAGTGAGTGTGGCTGGCTACTCCTTTTAATCTAATTAGTTGTTCTCAGAACTTTTTATTCATCTACTTCCCTGGGAAGCAAGTATTTACTGGGGGACAAGTATGCTGGATCTGTCTTTGATTTTAAAAGAGAAAAAAGAATCATCTGATGATGGTGTAGCTTGTCTACAGGACAGAAATCTTTCAGTATGTGGTGGAGCAGCAGCTTTGGGGGGGGAGACTGGAAAGCTGCGGATGAGAGGAGTGGGGAGGGTTCTCCTTCAGAAGGTCTGAGGTGGAGATCCAGAATGGGAAATTAAGTGGGAAATCTGAGGAGTGGTGTAGATTCGAGTCAGGGCCTCATTATTGTCTCCATGGGCCTTTTGCCTTTTTGAGCCTTTTCCTTGTAATAATATCAACATTAAAAATTGTGTTTTTGTGGCTTTAGTCTAATATTTTGTATTTGTTCTCTCTTAGTCAAAATGTATTAGGTTTGTAGTACCTTACAAATTTTACTTTTTTTTAATGTGAGAAAAAAGTTAAAATATTTTTTGATCCTAAAAGTTATTTTTTTCCCTTCTGATTTTAAAATAAGGTCAAACATTTGGTGAGTGCCCAAAACCTTTGTGAATCCCTGGCTTTGTGCTTCCTGGGCCTAATAGATGTGCCATCTTGGTTCTGGGGAAGGAGAAAGGCTTCATCTTGCCGCATGGGTTTGGGGGCTAGTGATGCCGAAGAAGCTGCAAAGGGGCCCTGCTCCCTGACTGGCCTCAGACCTGCCAAAGTGTCTCTGATGGTCACGCCTCTGCTGTTCTTCTAAAGTTGCAACTAGACAAATAGGAAAGAACAGTGAACTAGAGTCCTGAAAACTAGCAGTCTGCTTTCATGGTTTGATTCTAAGCTGCTATGTGACCTTGGGTAAGATCCTTTGTCTCAATGGGTCTATTCCAATATTTGAGAAGTACTAGACAAGAATCCTTTATGTATTATTTATGCCCCACATGCTTCTGAAATGCTATTAGAAAAAGTCACAGTGAGATAAATGAAGTCATATATAAAAGAAGATGGTTATACTTAGACCAGAACCTGGAAATAAGCTATTTACTGAAAAACTACATTAAACTTAGCTCTGAATTTTCTGGAAACTGAAAAATACTGAGTTTTTTTGTCTGATTGAAATGAAGGTGGCTCTTCTTTCGAGATTTATTTGGCCTTTACTTATACTTTTTTTTTAAATTATGAAATCAGCGCTACTGTGGTTTAATTTCATTTTTTTAAGAAAAATTCATTCACAATTCCATAATCTCAATAAATCTAAATATTTCTTTTCTAGACTTTATTCCAATAATCATTACCAGATAACATTTTTTGGTTTTTGCTTTTTTTAACTCAAGAAGATATGATCTTTATTGTCATGCTGGTGCAGATTTGATGCCTGTTATCCTTTTAATGTGTACACAATATCAGTTGGAAATATTAAGCCAGCCCTGATCATTAGGCAGTTAGTTGATTTCCAATTTTTTATTACCATCCAGAATGAGCTATCGATATTGTAGTATTTTCTTTCTTTAGGATACTTTATACTACACAAATTTCCAGGAATAAAAAGGTTCAGTGAAAAAGTATGAACCTCTTTTGTGTTTTCTAAACTGTGACATTTTAATTTTCCATGAGATTGTGCTGTTTTTGCTCTTGGGCACTAAATGCTAAGATAAATGTATAGGGAATCTCATGAAGCAATGTCTTTTTCAATTTGAAATGGCTCTCCATGGGTTTGTTGCAAAAGCAGAGGAATATTTGATGTGAGCTAGATTTGTTACTGGTATCAATATGCTTTTAGTATTTCAGTTCATATAGTCTATTTGTGCAGGGAGAGAGGACAGCTTATTGACTGGGAATAAACAAATTGTCTGCAGAGAGGACTGAGGAATGGAGAGGAACGCTTAGAGGCTCAGCCCTGCTCTCCCATCAGGAAAGTTGTTGAAGAATTTTATTCCTTGTCCATCCAAGACTTCCCCCTGATTGTTGTAGAGCTGGAATCCTTCTCGATTGGGTGGCTGTGCTTAACTTTCCCACTATTTATGGCTGTAAGAATGTAAATGGAGCTAAGTGTTTCCTTCTTTCCTGGATCTCAAACAGCTTGGTCTCAGAGTGCTGAGCTTCCCGGAGTGTTTCCAGAGAAGACAGCCTGAGGGAGAGGAAGTGGTGCTAATTAAATCCGCCCTCTGTTTTCCAGGCACAGGAGCCTTTCACAGATGTCTGTTGTTAGGCGTGTGTTCACAGAGTGCGCAAATACAGAAGCAGGCTTTCCTTCCCGAGTGACACAAACCTTCTTCCTTCACAGGTTATAGGGAACTTTAGAAAGGCATTTCCTTCCAACACCCACTGTAGCAGAGGTGGAGGTGGCAGACCTGTATAAACAGGGTGCTCAGCTGCCCGCAAGGCCAAGGTGCCTCACCAGCCCCACCTCTCTCACCCTCATCCACATTCCCACTATATTTCCCTGCTTCTCCATCCTTTGTATTCTTATAGGCCAATCTCTTCCTTTTGCACATCTAACTTTAAAAAATTACCTGAAACTAAGGAAGGCCCTCCTGTTAGGGGACAGCATGACATCATGATGGACATGTTGGGCTCACAGTTTGGTTGGAAGTCCAGGTGATGCCACAGCTCTCAAAGTGTGCTCTGGGTAGGACCCCTCTACTCTGTGTCCTCAGAAACACAAGGATAGAGTAGAAAACTCTTCCAGGGTTGCTGGAAGCATCTAAAGAAGCAGAATAAATTGCAAACTGCAGAAGACTTTCCCCTTGTGGGTTCCCCTAACTGACTGTGTTCTCCTACACTCAACCACATAAGGTGACTGTCTACAGTCGCGTTTGTCTGAGGCAGTCCTGTTTGCTTCTATCATCCGGGCATAAGTGCTAACAGTTCCCTTAAAAAAAAAAAAAA